TCTCGCGAAGCAAGGACAAGCCGTTGGTAGTGTCGCCCAAGATTCTCTCCGACATTCAGCGTGTGTCGACGGAGGATTCGGTGAAGCTTCCGCCTCTTCGCATGAGCCAGATGCCGGAGGCGACACCATCGAAGCCGCCCGCGATGGAACCTGTACATTCTCCCCCAGGACCTCTCACAGACATCTCGCCTAACTCGCAGAGTCGCGTGGTTCACAGAAGACGGACGATTTCGGATCCATTCTATTTGAGCGACGTTCTTATCAATCAGCTGGTGCGGGCGCCTGGATGGACTGTCCCGCAGTGCATACAGATCGAGGCCCAGTCCCAGAAGGAGGCAGAAGCCGCCATGGTATTGGAGGGACTGAAGAACTCGAGTGGCCCGGCATTCGTTGTGAGGGACCATTGATATTGAAAGATGCTTAGCAAAGGCATCTCTTGCATGGATAGGAAAGCGTTGAATTATACCCCCATAGATAAATATCATTGCGCTCAGAGGCGCATCTCATGATAATGACGATCTTTTTTTTTACTGCCTGCAACTGCTTCCTCCCTCATCATGCCCGCCCCCACGATGCGTTTCAAGGTGACCAAATTGTGTAACACCTAACGAGCCACTCACATCAACCGGAACGCACCCCGAAAACATCTCCTAGGAACGAGCATCTACGAAACCGAAACCGAACATGTGTATGTAGCTGTGACAGGGACACGCACAGTGCTCGAGCCTGTCCATGCCGAGTCAGGTGGGCGCCGAGCTCTGATGTTGCTCTATTCAAGTCTGCGCACGCCTGGATGGGCCGTGGAAAGGGTCCAGTCTCGCAGGCTTGATTCCTGCTGAATGTCAACGGGTTTTGATAGGTCTTTGATTCTGGGGGTGGGTGAAGGGGGGGAAAGCACTTCAGCTCAGCCATGTGTCTGAGTGTCGGCTTCAGCTCGAGGCAAGTTTTGTCACTTTGATGTACTCTTGCCTTCTCGCGGGTGAGGGGCAACCAACCTCCTGACGAGGTGCGCGCTAGACGAGTTCCAGCTCGTCTTCCAGCAACCTAGGCGTCGATAGTTTGCACGACTAATTGCTGCTGGCACCTTTCGCCACGTGTGGGCATCCAACCAAGCGCGGTGATCCAGAAACTCGGGAGACCCTAAGTTGTCCCAAGAATTGTCTGGATCCTTGGCTCGTTAACCACCTCCAAAGATCCGCGCCTATGGGCACATCTGGCCAGGCTGTTGACATATTCAGGGTCCAGATTGGCAGTCATGAATTCCTATGACCGTGGTAAAGCCCTCTGTGTGTTCGATGCAGGGCACTGCCCGGACAACAGCAGAGATGAATCACAAGGCCTCATTGAATTCCGGAGACCACAGCGTACCTGGAATGCAATGAAATATTCTCCGAGACGAGATCCATTGTCCGTGGGATCGGAGATGCGGCTGAAACTTGGCGTGGAAGCCTTGGATTTGCCTTCGTGGTGGGACGAACTCGTGGGCCGAGGGTGCAGTAGCTTCGAGGCATGGTTACAGGATGCGTTCCCAGCACGCTATCGTCTGTGAGGGGGGCACTACTTTCCTTGACCAGGAGACGACCACGATGATGGCGGCGACGCCGCATATTGAGGTATCACTTGGAAATTTTGCTCGAGGCTTTGATCGAACATCCGCCACAATCACGTCGATGGCAGAAAAATCATCGATCGAGATGCCGAGCCTTGCATGAGAATATGGCAAGATCCGCATACGAAGACACCTACACCACCATGCCCAGCTCACGACGACGATTTGCGATTCGCCAATGCAAGAGGAAAGCCATAGACGCCCCCTCACACTGGGCTCGGCTGCAGTATTACTGATAAGCGTTTCGAAGGACAAACGGAAGAAACGTCACTGGAGGGCACAAAACCTGGGGTAAGATGTAGTCTAGACCATAGCGTTAGAGTTGGCATGGACAAAAAGTCAGCGGTGAAGTTTTGTGATCTCGACATAAGCTTACTGAGGGAGAGATCGGCAGACAGGGCTGGATGTGAAGCAATCGAGGAGTCTGGGACGAGGTGTTACGGCGGCAATGCGGGCGTTTGAAGAGAGCGTTTACACCCGGAAGCGTTGGCTCTGGGCAGTGCGGGGCGCCCTTGGTTTCTCGACTGCCGTTTTCCCGCGTGACCAGCCAAGATAACCAGGCTAGCACAAGCAGGCCACAGCTTGCGAGAAAGGGGAGTTCTGTTTGGATATTCTGTTGTTGTTTCCGTCCCGTCGCCGTGGTGTTGTTGGCGTTTGGTGGTCCCGACGGTTGTTGGCTCCAATGTGGCGGGGGTGATGACGATCCGGGGTGCACTCTTCCCTTTACAGGGCCAGGCCTATACAGCACAGGCCACACCCCATGCTCGTTGCGCATCTCTCAGTTGATTGGCGCAGGGGGTGTTGCAGTGCGTGAACCTGGGGAAGTTGCCACCGTAGGGCGCCTTTGAGCCATGCAACACCCCCCGTCGCGACTTCCATTTCGTCCGAGTTCAATTTTTTTAGGTTCCCCCTTGGCACCTGCGACTTCCGCAAGCACCGGCAGGCAGAGGGCAGGCACCACCCTCAGAGCCCAACCTACCTAGGTATTGAAGGAAGCAGCAATCGGCTCCTTCCTTCACCGAGAGTTCCTCCCTCACCTTCCTTGCCTTAGGTAAGGTCTTGAAGGTGAGGTGGAAGGAAGACTTGGCTGCTTCCATCTGAGCAAGGAAGGGACGATCTTGATCGACACCTACCTTGTGAAAGAGATTCAATCCCCTCCTCCCCTCACGGCCACGGACCAAGCGTTCGTTCTTCCTGGTAATCCGACACCTTATTCAGACTGCTTGACTTCTTCTCTCCCGGCTTCGTTCAATCTTCATCCACCTACTTTAGGAACACGAGTTTGAGCCGTTTCTCCTCCCACTTTACGGCTTCCCAAATCATTTTTCAGACCGGCGCTTGTCGGGAGATTCCCCCGCTCAAAGTCGCCCTTGAGACCGGCCCTTACTCGTTCTTCGTCTTCCGATGCGACCACCCGACTAAGACGCCCTCTAAGCTCTATTCCCCTTTCAGAACGTGGCCTCTCTCTTTCGGGCAGTCCACCGCTGATTCAGACATACAGTCGGCCACTCGCAATCCACCCCCCATGTCTATAGTCGCGCGCCACCTATCAATGGTGCTGTTGGAGGACACCCTCTTAGCCAAAGCTTTCTGCCTTTTTGGATCAAAATCAAGAGACACGACCAGGAGCAGCCAAACGTCTCCTCTCGCAAACTGGCTGTGGGAGAGGCTGCTGCCTTCCCAAGCCAGTTACCTCATCGACATGTTCAGAAGCCACTGCGGCGCATGTTCAGACGAGTCTGGGGTCAGACACTGCGCCCCGGACTTGCGTTACAGAAGACAAGCTCATGGAAACAAAGAACTTCGTCTCCTCTCCCATCACTCAACGGTCAGGGCTTGGATCTTGCATCTCGCAACCATCGACTCCCGGGACTTGCGCCTCCCTATGTGCCTGATTTTGACAAAGAAACCCCGCGCGCCCACCAGGTCTATCTTCCAAAACAAGCCTCTTGCTCTGTGAATGGCCAATCAACACGCCTGTCTCGACAATTACACTCGGGATGGATTGAGCCATTGAAACGGCGCCTTCCGTCTGAATCTTCCTCTCTGCCATCGTGTCCCTGGCCTACTGCCGGAAACCAAACATACATCGTCGCCGTTGTATTGGTCGATCATGGCCCATATCCGGCCTTGGCTGGTATGCAGTAAGCCGCCTCAGACACGCAACTCCTGGCCACAACATGGCTTTTTAGTCCCTCTCACCGCGTCTACTGCGGCGCACCCTCTCCGCCACGGAAATGCTTGTCCATCCGCCCGATGAAGCCTGCGTGGGGCTAGCATCTTCATCCCCGGACGTCTCCGCAAATTCACCAGCATTCGCCTTTGAATCTGTGCGGCCCGAGATGACCAGTGTGAGCAATAATCTGGCCGTGTTGATATGACGTTGTCTCCATCATTCTCCCGGCCAGCCGGAACAACGAAAAGAACCCCAAGAATATGGCGGACACAAAAAACAATAGTCGTCACAGTTCGTGACGCTCTCCTGAGAAGACGCTAATCAACACTTTGACTCAGGGCTGGTGCAGTTGGCTCTTAATCCGGGCCCGCGCGGAATAGCGCTTTGGCTTGCGAGTAGTCCATCTGCCACCCAAATTACCGAAACTCGCCGCCTGGACGCTTCAGGAGACACGTTTGGTTGATCGGATTCTATTGTTGTGCCGCGCTTCAGACAGACAGTACGTCAAAGCTTAAGCAACCACACGGGACTCGCGTTCTCTTTCTTTGTCGCCCAGCGAGCAATCCTGATCGTCCACTTTGCTTTGCACCGTCAAGTATCAGCAAAGTTACTGTGCTTACATAGCAGACACCTAATGAATGAAAAGACCGGGGCGGCGCGAGGAGGAGCATCTGGCCTCCGCGCCTGCCCAAGGTACGTGATGGATGCTTCATGGAAGGGTACCTCAAAAGTACTTGCAGTTTTGTGGATGTGCCGCCGTTCCATGTCATGGCCTCCGCCCGCGCAGGCGCCTCTAAAACTGCCTAAATTCGCCTTATAATTATAATGCGCCGAGTCCTCATATACCTTCATTTCTCTGTTTCTGTCCGTCGTTGGACCAGGCACATTACCGACTGCCATCTCTCATCTCAAATCGCCCGGCTGCCAGCTCAGCTTGCTGCTTACACGGTCTTCTTCTCCTGATTCGCCGCCTCGGAGCACACTTTGGTCCCCCCTTCCAGCCTGCCGACAAGCCTCAATCTGCTGGTGCAGCGCTGCGTTTGCCGGCTCGGCAAATACCAACGCAGGAAGGATTCCTCTCTGCGCTGAGCTGAAAATTAAAGGGTGGGCACCCTTCCATGTATTGGATCCTAGGAGTTGGCGTGGACTGACAGGTTTTCCTTAGACCAAGCTGGACGGCAGCCACTTCGCGGCGAGAAGCCGGGATATATAGCAATGGTCAATCCTAATCGCTGGTCGTGGTCGGGAGCACCGCGAAAAGCCCATGCCCGAGAGAATGCCGTTGCCAGCAATGAGCCTCTGATCCCACCCACCACCAATCCCGATTCGTGCGAGGGCAGTGTCCCAGCCGAGAAAAAGGTGCAGCCTGGCGCTGCGGGTGGTGTCTCATCGCGCCGGCTGTCTTACAATCGGTGGAGTTGGCGGCCAGATGCAGCCATATCGGTCACCTTGGAGGACCAGCAAGAGGACGACTCGGAAAATAGGGAGCAGGGAGAAGACCAGGGCCAAGCAACACAGCCAGGAGCATCGAATGGTCGTCGGTTGTCGAAAATCAACAAAAAGCTGGATGCCGCCGCTCCCACCAAGCGACCACGACCATTGTCTATGATAGCGCCTGCAAGCGCATCTTTCGGATCAGCGCCGTCTTATTCACATTTTCAGCGCCAGCAACAGGCACAGCAACAGGAGACTGAAAACCTGCCATCGCCCTCTCAACCGAGCCCCCTTACTACCCAGCCCTCAACCGGTGTTAAGGAAGCCCTCGGCCGGTTTCTCACTCGGAAGTTCAGCAAACGACAAATGAAGACACCGCGGCAACAACAGAGCGAAGCTGAGCCAGTACCCCCGCCATCCCAGCATCAGCAGCAGCAAACATCAGGACCCATGCAATCCTCAATGCGACGTGGTCCCCAACTCCACAATCCCCAGAACACCCTCCGTGGAGAATCCCCTGCCAACCCTGCCACCCATGCCCAGACCCAAGGCCAGGGTCGCATCGAAAACGGTCGCATGGCTGCACCGCTGCCAGGGCTTGATGAGCAGCCCGAGTTGCAGGAGCAACTGCCTCCTCCAACAGACATTGACTCCCGTGCCGCGCCTGCTTCGGATGCAGCGACAAGTGTTGATCCCGGTGCTACGTCGTCACAAGCTCCCACGTCTTCGGCAGACGATACAGGGATCCTGGGCCGCCTCATGCGCAGGCGATTGGCCCCTAAGGACAAGGACGTCGAAAACAATAAGAAGCGGTCGCTTTCCACGAGCGCCGACAATACGAGCCAGTCTGCCGGAGCCGACCACGAGAACAGCAACTCGTCTGATCCGTTGGCCAATGCCGATGAGATCACAGACCACGAAATGCAGGCACAGTCTATGCCACTATCCGCGTCCCACGCTTCGCAAAAGACGCTAGGTGACACGACCAAGACACAGGAGTTCCAGACTGTCTCGGATGCCCGAAACCCATCGTCCTCGTCTGTCCCCCGTTTCCTACGACAGGTTGCGAAACCCCAACAAGCGAAAGCCAGCCCGAACCAGGTTACTGGCGCCGTCACCCCACACAAGTACAACCCGCATTCTCAGTCTTCCCAGGCTCAACACCAGCAGCACATGTCTTCCTCAACGCCGTCTGCGCAACCCAAGCTGCGCGCGAAGCCGAGTTTCGGCAAGCGTTTCTGGTCTAGATCTGGGGCCAACGACTTTGGCGACGACAACGCAGCCAACGCCGATGCCGAAACAACTGCTCCCGCTCCGGTGTCTCGGCCGGTGTATGTGCCAAAGCATGCGGCATCAGACTTTTCGCGCACAACGTACCCGCCGCGCCAGCATCGCCACAGCTTCTCTCTCGGCAACGGCGAAAATGGCGTTCGCCCCCTGGCCACAATTACTGCCGAAGCCTCGGAGGACGAGCCTCAACGTCAGGTCGCACCGGAGCAGAGAAACCGTACGCCGTCGGCCGAGAAGCGCAGATCACGAGAGCTATCGTCCTCTTCCAAATTCGACGGACCGTCTCCTCAGGAACTGCACCGCCGACTTGAGATTGTAAAGAGCAGTGAGATTGAGGTTGTGACCACCAGAGAACCCACTGCCGTCGATCACCGGCCTCAACAGCATCAGCTGCTGCACAGCAACTCGAATGCCTCATCGGCAAATGGCAAGGGACCCGCGAAGGCGCAGCCTCCATCCCGTCCACGTTCATCTCAACGGCACAGCTTCAACCTGGTTGCGGATCCTTACGCAAGAGACCTGACGCCTCCCAAGTCTGCGTCGCCAGTGGAAATGGAGGCTCCCTTTGATCCGCCAAGTCACGCGCAGCAACAGACGGTAGAGCCGACATCGCAACAGGTCCCGAAGCAGGCATCTCCACCACGACAGGCCACGCAGGACAAGACTTCACATGGCCGGCCTCAACACTCCAAAGAGCAGGCCGAAGAGAAGCCTCGCAAGGAGATGACGGACTTCGAGCGATTCATAGCCGATGCTGAGGCCGCCGAGCGTGAACATCATGCACAGATGTGGCGCAACCTCGCCCGCCGCTCCGGTCATTACGGATACAGTGACAATACCTACAATCCGTACACGGCATACAAGCCGGATCCGGTCTCAACCAATCCAAGCGCCGTAGCTAACACGCAAAAGAGCGGCAAGCGGGACAGTGCGTATTACTCGGTTGGAAAGCGGGCGAGTATGATGACCACGGCTGCCGAGGACGAGCGCAACTTCATGTACGGACAGCCACTAGGCGACAACAATGGCCTGAAGCACCAGGGAAGCATCTCCAAACGCATTGCCGATTACATCAAGCCATCCAAGTCGGGCCAAGAGGCCGCCCAAGAGGACTGGATGGCGGGACGGACAAACCGCAGGAGCGTGATTGCAGGCGTAGCAGAGGAGTGATGAGTGAAGAAGGCTTGAACGACAGATTTAGTCGTGGTCAAAATGAGTTACGATATACGATGATTTGGAAGGCGTTATGGAGACGAGGGCGATGATATCCAAGGGTAGATGAAGATGATGAGTAGAACATCTAGACAGACATACCTAACAAACAATTTTCTTTTTTCCACCTCATAATCATTCATGGAACTCTACGCCTCTGTCGCCACCCGAGCTCATCGATTTTGTCGTGTTTGCCGTCTTCGTTGTCCTCGGCGTCCTCGTCGTCCCCCTTCCTCGTCGTCCCCCTTCCTCGTCGTCCCCCTTCCTCGTCGTCCCCCTTCCTCGTCGTCCCCCTTCCTCGTCGTCCCCCTTCCTCGTCGTCCCCCTTCCTCGCCGTCCCTCTTCTCTGTCATAATTCGTATTAACTTTCTTATCGTCCTTCTCGCTTTACTATATCACTACCTTCATCATCTCACCCCCCTCATATGATTATTTAACCTTTAAAGTGACTCCTACTTATATAATTACTGACTATCTAATGCGTATATGAGTTGTCTGCGTATAGCTTGCTGTGCTTATACTAACACCACAGCGATCTTATTGCCTGAGGAAGCTGCGATACCCTCACCTTAGAGCTGTCACCGAGGTCGGATAACGTCTGCTTAGTCATCATAGAAATCCGGAATCTGGAAGGTGCGTTGGGGGCCGGGCAGGCACCTGTGGTGGTAGCGTCACTTTAAGGGCCCTTTTGGCCTGATGTGGCCAGTCAGAGTAGCCCGTGGGGTAGGTGCGTGGATCCTTGCACCTTCCACCCAGGCTTATTACAGGCTGTCTTGCCAGGAAGGTACGGGGGGCAGTAGGGGCCTTCCCAATTCGCCATCGCGAAAAAGTACAGATAACCAGAAACCAGAAATCCTCTCGTTTCTCTACCTTACTTCATCAACAACCCCACCGCCGCCGCCGTCGTCCGACCTCGTCCCTCGTCGTCGTCCTCGTCCTTGCCGTCGTCCGGTGTCTCTTGTCTCTGTCTTGTTCGATGCCCTCTATACACTAGATTGACACCGACCACGAGCTTTTGTTCCCTTTTCGCCTGACGTCTGGTCCCGCGCGTTGCGCTTTCGCTCACGATGGCGCCCCTCGTGGACAACAACCAGATCAAGCTGGCTGAGCTGTGGAAGCCCCTGCCAACGCACTTCCACGCCTATGTCTGGCCCTTTGCCATTATCTGGCCCATCTTTTTACGCTACTACCTCACCCAAGAACTCTACGAGAAGCACATCGCATCCGAGGAATGGACCTTTGTGTGGATCGGCACTATCGTCACCTTCCAGTCCCTCTTCTGGTTGAGCACCCACTGGAGCGTCAACCTCCAGGCCCTCTTCACCGCGACCCGCGCCAAGTCAATTGACGAGGCCGAGCTCATCAAGATCATTCCCGTCGCTAATGCCGGGTCTGCCGAAATCTGCAAGTTGGTTCGCGACAAGGTAAGACGCTACGCCCCGCGCCGTGTTGCATTCTCGTTGCAGTCGCTGACAGCTGCTCTTTCCGTAGGTCGGAGGCAAGATCAACACCTCTTTCCTCTTCCAGAAGCGACGCTTCATCTACGTTCCCGAAGAGAAGACCTTCCGAACCCTCACCTACGACATCGACCTCGAGCCCAAGCCAAAAATCGCACGCTACCAGGAGTCCAAGGGTATCGCGACGCAGGAGGAGTTGACGAGGATCGAGGAGCACTATGGCCCCAACGCTTTCGATATTCCCGTTCCTACCTTCACCGAGCTTTTCAAGGAGCACGCCGTCGCCCCCTTCTTCGTCTTCCAGATCTTCTGCGTCGGCTTGTGGATGCTCGATGAGTACTGGTACTACTCCCTCTTCACCCTGTTCATGCTTGTCGCCTTCGAGAGCACCGTCGTCTGGCAGCGTCAGCGGACGCTTAACGAGTTCCGTGGAATGAGCATCAAGCCTTACGATGTCTACGTCTACCGTCTGGGCAAGTGGACCGAGATCCAGAGTGATAAGCTTCTTCCCGGCGATCTGGTTTCCGTTGGCCGCACCAAGGAGGACAGCGGTGTTGCATGCGATATGCTCCTTGTTGAAGGAACTGCCATTGTCAACGAGGCCATGCTTTCCGGCGAGAGTACTCCTCTCCTCAAGGAATCCATTCGGCTTCGCCCTGCCGATGCTAACCTCGAGCCCGAAGCCCTGGACAAGAACGCTTTCCTCTGGGGTGGTACCAAGGTTCTTCAGATCACCCACGGCAACCCTGATGAGGAGAAGCCCAAGCTTGCCTCTGGCGTTCCTCCCCCTCCCGACAACGGCGCCATGGCCATCGTGCAGAAGACTGGTTTCGAGACTTCTCAGGGCAGCCTGGTTCGCACCATGATCTACTCCACCGAGCGCGTCTCGGCCAACAACGTTGAGGCTTTGTTTTTCATCTTGTTCCTCCTCATTTTCGCGATCGCCGCCTCCTGGTATGTCTGGGATGAGGGTGTTAAGAAGGACCGCAAGCGCTCCAAGCTTCTGCTCGACTGCGTCTTGATCGTCACTAGTGTCGTCCCCCCCGAGTTGCCCATGGAGCTTAGTCTGGCGGTCAACACGAGTTTGGCTGCCCTCGCCAAGTTCGCTATCTTCTGCACCGAGCCTTTCCGCATTCCCTACGCCGGACGTATTGATGTTGCTTGCTTTGACAAGACTGGTACTCTCACCGGCGAGGACCTGGTTGTTGAGGGTATTGCTGGTCTGGGCCTTGGACACTCGGGCACTAGCACCCCTCGCGAGTCTGATGGCGCCCACTCCCACATGACCCCTGTCAACGAGATCGGCCTGGATACCACCCTGGTTCTCGCTACCGCGCACGCTCTTGTCAAGCTTGACGAGGGAGATGTTGTTGGTGACCCCATGGAAAAGGCTACTCTGACCTCTTTGGGATGGACTGTCGGCCGCAACGACACTCTCGCCAGCAAGCCCACTACTGCCGCTACTACTGGTGTAAGCGGAACTGTTCAGATCAAGCGCCGCTTCCAGTTTTCCTCGGCTCTCAAGCGACAGGCCTCAGTCGCTACCGTCAACGGTGCGGATAAGCAGGGCAACCGTATCCGTGGTACTTTCGTCGCTGTCAAGGGCGCCCCCGAGACCATCCAGAGAAGACTGACTACTGTTCCCGCCGACTACGAGGAGACCTTCAAGTACTTTACTCGTCGTGGTTCCCGCGTCCTCGCGCTTGCCTACAAGCAGCTTACCGTTGATAACGAGTTGGGAGCCAGCAAGATCAACGACTTGAAGCGTGAGAACGTCGAGTCTGGACTTACTTTTGCTGGATTCTTGGTTCTTTCTTGCCCCCTGAAGGATGATGCCAAGCAGGCTGTGCAGATGCTCAACGAGAGCAGCCACCGCGTTGTTATGATTACCGGAGACAACCCGCTTACCGCCGTTTACGTCGCCAGAGACGTAGAGATTGTCGACCGCGATGTTTTGATTTTGGATGCCCCCGAGGACAACGCCGATGGCGATAAGCTCATCTGGCATAGCGTTGATGAGAAGATCAGCATCCCGGTTGACCCGTCCAAGCCTATCGACAAGAAAATCCTCGAGTCCTACGACCTCTGTGTCACAGGTTACGCCCTCGCCAAGTTCAAGGACCAAGTCGGCTGGTACGAGATTCTGCGCCATACCTGGGTCTATGCGCGTGTCTCTCCCAAGCAGAAGGAAGATATCCTGGTTGGCCTCCGTGACATGGGATACTACACTTTGATGGCTGGTGACGGAACCAACGACGTTGGCGCTCTCAAGCAGGCTCATATTGGTATCGCTCTTCTTAACGGCACTCCTGAGGACCTCACTCGTATTGCCGAGCATTCTCGCAACACGAAGATGAAGGAGATCTACCAGAAGCAGGTTGACCTCATGAAGCGCTTCAACCAGCCGGCTCCTCCTGTTCCCGTCATGATTGCCCATCTTTACCCCCCTGGACCTAGCAACCCTCACTTCAGCAAGGCTGTCGAGCGCGAAGCTAAGAGGAAGAACGTTAGCCCCGAGGAGTGGATGAAGACCAACGGTGTTTCCGCCATTGAGACCGTCACCTCTCCGGGTGCCCAGCAACTTTTGAACAATCAGGACCCCAAGGCTGCTCGTCAGGCGCAGGCTCAAGCCAAGGCCGCTAGCTTTGCCGATAAGATGACTTCCCAGATGATGGAGAGTGAGATGGGCGGAGACGATGAGCCTCCCACCCTCAAGCTCGGCGACGCTTCTGTGGCAGCTCCCTTCACCAGCAAGCTTCGTAACGTCATTGCCGTCCCCAACATCATCCGCCAGGGTCGCTGCACTCTCGTCGCAACCATCCAGACGTACAAGATTCTCGCCCTCAACTGCCTCATCAGCGCCTACAGTCTCAGTGTCCTCTACCTCGAGGGTATCAAGTTTGGTGATGGCCAGTACACTATCAGCGGTATCTTGATGAGTGTGTGCTTCCTGTCTATCTCTCGCGCCCGTGTTGTTGAGGGTCTGTCCAAGGAGCGTCCTCAGCCCAATATCTTCAACTTCTACATCATCGGATCTATCCTGGGACAGTTTGCTGTCCACGTTGTAACTCTCATCTACATTGCCCGCTTCTGTGACAAGCTTGAGCCGTAAGTCTTCATGTCTCAGCGTAGGAGAACAGTAACTAACAAAAATCAGTCGCTCCGGTGACGTTGACCTTGAGGCCGAGTTCGCTCCCAGTCTGTTGAACAGCGCTGTGTACCTGCTCCAGCTCATCCAGCAAATCAGCACCTTCGCCATCAACTACCAGGGACGCCCCTTCCGTGAGTCTCTTCGCGAGAACAAGGGTATGTTCTACGGCATTGTCGGTGTTTCGGCCCTGGCCTTCTCCTGCTCGATGGAATTCATTCCCGAAATCAACGAGCAGATGAAGCTTGTGCCCTTCACTGAGGAGTTCAAGACCACCATGACTGGCGTTATGGTTCTGGACTATGCCGCTTGCTGGATCATCGAGGTCGTCCTCAAGCGCCTCTTCTCCGACT